TAAGGTGCATCTGATTCAGGACATTGTCTTTCCGATTACTTGCTATGCATCTGAGAGCTAGACAATGAATAAGGATGACAGAAGAATTTCCGCCTTTGAACTGTGGTGTTGGAGAAGAGCACTGAACATCCCATGGACGGCCAGGAGAACAAATGGATATATCTTGGAGTGGGTGCAGTTTGAGTGATGAGGCTCACATACTTTGGGCTTGTTTCTAGGAGGGGCTGATATCTTGAAGGGTGGAGGCTCTCAAAAAAGAGGAAGACGCTTAACCAGGTGGCTTGACAACATTGACTTCTGCAGTGGACTTTTGTGTGTCAGGAAGTGTGAGGATGTTGCAGGATAGAACACGGTTCAGATCTTTTGTTCATAGGCTTGATGGCACCTAACAACAATAAGTATGGGGATAAGGGGGGTATGAATGTTCCACATTTGTCCCTTGCTTATGGGAGCTTACATAGGGAAGATGCAGGACAGTGGGACCTGTGAGAAAGTTCATGTAACTTCCTGTGTGCACTGTCCAGGGCTTGTACTGCCAAGGCTCTGCAGATAGCTTGGTACCATCCAAAAGGGAGCAGTTTTTGGCTGTAGATTGCTGGGGCTAAGGGAAGAAAACTTCAGCTAGAGACTGCAGGGTTATTACGCAAACATGGTCAGAGGGTTTCTGTTGGATAAGGATGCCCCCTTTAGCTTATTCTACTAGGCAAAGAGACTTTTCCTTTTAAAATAGTACAGAAAGAATGTTACCTTGTTATGAACAAAGAGTATTGTGAGCTGTTAGCCTTTGTTAGTTAAGCGGTGTTTATTCTTTTACTCATTAATTACAAGAGTCTTGGCAGCTGGTGGAAGTGGTAAGGAGGAAGAATTTGGTGGGATGTAGTGTTCTTTTAGGTGTGTACATTTTTATAAGGATGGAGATGTTGCATACAAAGAATGTCTGTACCACTGGCATTGGTGTCCACTGAAGGTGCTCTGGTGGTTCAGTGGTTAGTGCTTGGCTGCTAACCAAAAGATTGTTGGTGGTCAGCATTGACGGGAGGTGGGGAGGTATAACAGTCGGCTTCCACAAAGGTTACGCTTTGGAGCTGCTCTACTCGTGTGCGGTTGTGGAGTGATCAGGAGTAACTGGGGTCATCTGCTTAGCATTCAGTGTGTGTGTGTCTTAGAAGGCACCCTGCAAGTGGGTTGTTGCTACAGTTAACTGTATATGCATTTATTCACTACATTTGGATGGTGGAGAAATTGAGCTAGTGTGCCTTGTAGAGGAAGGAGAGCCTTCTTCCATGAGAGTTTGAGGAGTCTTCTTGGAGAGCTGGACATTTCAGGTAGAGGGTGTGCCAGGATTTCAGAGAAAGCCTTTTAAAGTTGTTATTGTTGATAAGCTCAGTGTGACTCTAGGCAGCCCTCTGCTAACTTTCTTAGGCTGCAAACCTTTACAGGAGGAGGCTGTCCTTGTTTTCTAAGCTTCCTAAGGTCATGTGTTCTTTTCTTATTATTAATGTTGTACTAATTTGCCTGGCTCTACAATCAACACTCTTGGCACGAGCAGCCAGGAAATGAAAAGATGAATTGTGTTGGGAAAGTCTGCTGTCAGAGACTTCTCCAAAGTACTGAAGAGCAACGATCTCAATCTGGAGACTAAAGTGTACCATGGTCTTTTCAGTTACTTGCTATGTATCAGAGAGCTGGACAATGACTGCGGATGATAAAAGGAGAGTTGATGCCTTTGTGCTGTGGTGCTAGAGAAGAGTGTTGAATATACCATGAACTGCTAGGAGAATAAACAAGTTTGTCCTGGAGAGGGTGAAGCCAGGCTGCTCCTTGGAGGCAAGGATTCTGAAGCTTTGTCTGACATACTTTGGACATGTTACAAGGTGGAATCAGTCCTCTAGGAGAGGGATGTCATGCTTGGGAAGGTGGAGGGACAGCACAGGAGAGGAAGACCCTCAGTGAGATGGATTGATTCAGGGACTGGTGTAATGTGGGGAGGTGTGTCGGAAACAGTGAGGTTGGAGCAGGATAGAGCAGGGTTTAGGGCTCTTGTACATATTGTTGCTATGAGTCGCAGGAGACTCAGTGGCACATAATCAGAACAAGAACAACAAAGGCCCCTTTACAGATAGCATTCACGGTGATTTAACTCAGCCTGCTGCTCGCAGAGACCTGACCTGTGTGGTACAAGTGATTATGCTTCTAACCTGAAGGTTGATGGTTTAGACAGAACCAGTGGCATTCTGGAAGACAGGCCTACAGTCTGCTTCTGAAAAGCTAATAGCCAGGAAAGCCAGTGGAACAGGTCTGGTCTGTCACATTGGTGTGCTGTGAGCTGGAATTGACTAAGTAGCAATAGGTGTGGTGCGTAAGGGTACAGAGGATTACAAGAGAATGAAAAAAGAACATAATCTTTCACACTTGAATAACAGTATGAAAGGGCAGTATCTTCATGAACCAATACACTGTCAAATGACACAGCATCCCTTGAACTTAAATGCTAAAATGGTTTATTTGCTCTGGATTTCCCATAAGAACTCTGCTAGGGCACTTTTTTAAACACAAAGCTCCCCTGTAATGCACATAAATCAGTATTTTTAAAAAATGTCTACAGTTAATTGGAAATCATACTATATTGTATGCCCTATATGATTTTTAAAACTATATTAAAAGGTCTATTGCCATAAATTAATGTTGAATCAGAACTGAGACATAGCTGACCCTCTGTCTTTGGAGACTGTAAATAGCATGAGAGGATTGTCCATCTTTCTCCCTTGGGGATATTGGTGTAGTCCAGCCACCAGCTAGTTACTTTTGGGTTAACAAAGCAACTTCCCACCCACTTGGTCACCAGAGCTTCCTTCTGTTGCTGTGGATTATCCCCAAAATGAAGCACTTAAAACCACTAATGCATATTCTTTCACATGATAGCTAAGGATTAGGGATCTGGAGAAGTTCAGCTGAGTGATTCTGGCTTTGACCTCTCAGGCAGTAGCAGTTGTTGACCAAGGCTGAATCCTTGTGATGGCAGGATTTATGTCTAAGCCTAGTCATGCGAGCTCCTCCCTCATACCACATGGGTGGACCTGTTCTTCAGACTGTCTCCCTCGCTCAGGACACACAGCTCGTCCTTCGGAGTGGGTGATGAGAGTGAATGAGCAGTGCAGGAGGAGCACAGGAACATGCCAGGCTTTGTCCTCCCCAGACTGATGTCACATTCAGTTCCCACAATTGTCATACCATACTCCTGTTGTGTGCCATTTTTCACACAGACCAGGCCTGGGTGAGACAAGAGTACTGAACATCCTATGGACTGCTACAATCAAGTCTGTCCTGGAGGAAGTTGAACCTTACAGGGTGCTCCTTACAGGCAAGGATAGTGAAATTCATTTCCCATATTTTGGGCATGTTGTCAGGAGTGATCAGTCCTTGGAAACAGACATGCTTGGAACAGTGGAGGGCCAGAGAGAGAAGAGAAGACACTCCAATAGATGGATCAACACAGGGACTGTAACAGTGGGCTCTAGTACCTTAGAGAAGGTGAGGACGACACAGGGAAGGGCACAGTTAAGATCTGTTGACCTAGGGTCACTATGAGGTAATAACTAACAACAACAATAACATAAAAGCTAAGAGGAGGAGGTCTCCATCTTGCTCCCAGACCTTCTCGGGGGTCTGGAATGAAAAAGAATCTAGCAATATTATTCTTACTGTTGTTTTTTCACTTCATTGTTTTACTTGAGGAAACATCAACATCTGAATAATGTTATTAAATGTTTTTAAATTTGAATGTGACTTTTACGTCTGAATTTTGCTTTTAATGAGGGAAATTTCAAATTGAGGAAAAGACTCACTGCCATCAAGCTGATTCTGATTCTGAGGCCTTTAAGGAATAAGGAAAGGAGCCTAGTGGTGTAGTAAGTGACATTTCAGGCTGTCACTTGAAAAGTCAGCAGTTAAAAATCCACAGGCCACCCCTCAGAAGGAAGATCAGTGTTTTCCCGCAGGACTGCTGACCAGGAGCCTATGTGACCCTGAGGTTCTTCTAATCCACTAGTAGCTCTGTGGGAGAGAGGTGGGAAGCCTGCTGCCATCAAGATTTACAGCCCTGTAGAGGAATTACTTTGAGTCCAAGTCCACTAGAAGGCAGTGAGTTTGAGTTTTTAATAGTCCGCTAGTTTTTACTTACCATCACAACGTAGAATGCACTCCATGTCAATAGTAGAGCTCTTCCTCAGCATTTTTCTTATTGTTAGCTTTATTTTTTTTTAAAAAATTTACTAATCTTTTGTGGGTTTGAGTTTTTGTAAAACATACTTTTATTATCTGATACTGCAGGCACTGACTTTAGTTGTGTTTTCAGAGGACTGGAGTCTGCAGTACTGATGTCTACCTTCTTCCACTTCACAGATGAATTAGCATTTGACATTCATGGGGCTGGCCTCTACTTTTTGGTGATCTTGATTTAGGAGGTGTTGGGCAGTGCTGGGGAGGAAGGGAGGGCCTCTTACCAGGACAGACCACCTAGCTCCGGATAAGTGCAAGCCTCCCAACGTCCTTTAATACAGGATAGAGAAAGTTCCCCTGTGCTTGGTTGTACGGCTTGAGAAAGCTCACCATCTGGGAAGACGGCTGCCACATTTATTGAGCTGGGAGTAGTGCTCGAAGCTGAGATTGTCATTGTCCCTATCCAATCCGCATGTCCCACGTCTGCAAGCCCACCCTACCCTGTCTGCCTGTTTACTTGCTTGTATTAAGTGCGCTGCAGCCCCCAATAAAATTGAGCTGGATTGACATTCTGAACAGCTCCTGAAGTGGTGTGTCTCCATCGTGCTTACCCCCATCAGGGTGTCTCTGTTCATTGCTAGCGAATGGACAGTGACAGGGAGGGAGCCTAGGTCAGATCTGAGTGCTTGAGATTTACATCCAAAGAATTCTGGATGTTCTTACCTTGTGTTCTGAGTAATTGATTATTTGGTTGAAGCTTTTTTACTTTATGTCCCCTACAGGCCCGTCAGCTCATCTTGCAACATGGCTTAATGCTTAGTGACCTGGACCGACACCCAGAGGTGAGAGAGAGAATTAGGTTGCTATGTCGGGCTAGCACCCTCTTTCCCCCTTTAAGTTTTATTTATTTTGTTGTTGATAATATGCACAGCAAAACATATACCAATTTAAATTTCTACATGTACAGCTTAGTGCTGCTGATTAGATTCTTTGAGTTGTGCATCCAGAGTTGTGAGAATTCTCCTTCTCTGAGTTATTACTCCTCTCATCTGAGTTATTCCTCCTCCATTAACATAAACTCACAGTTCTCTAAGATTCATATCTTACCTTTTGAGGGTATTTATCATACAACCTTGGTCAATTCATCTCTTTAGTGGTGTTAGCTTACTAATAGCATTTACATGCTAACTCTATATTAAAACTGATGGGATTTTTTCCACTTCTTCCATTCTGTCTTTCCTTAACCACTAAAAATTGTTGGTCTTAGTACCTTTGCCTTTTCCTGTCATACTGAGGTCATACTGTATTTATCTTTTTTCATTTGCTTATTCAACTCATCATTATATCTTCCCAAGTTCATGTAATATTTTAACATGTATCAAAAGAATGATTGAATTTTGCACAATTGATGACTTACTTATTGCAAACACATTTTTAAGAGACATAAATGCAGGTTATATACATGGATTTTGCCTGATGGTATGCATAGGAATCAGATTGATTACATCTGCGGAAAGAACCGCTGGAGAAGCTCAATATCAGCTGTGAAAACTAGGCCAGGAGCTGATTGTGGAATAGACCACCAACTACTCCTATGAAAGTTCAAGCTGAAGCTGAGGAAAATTAAACCGAATCCATGGGAACCAAAATATGACTTTGAGTCTACCCCACCTGAATTTCAGAAACAGGTTTGAGGCCTTGAACACTAATGAGCAAAGACCAGATGAGTTGTGGGAGGATATCAAGGGTATCATCCAAGAAGAGTACAGACGTTTATTACAAAGACAGAGGAGGAAGAAAAGACCAAGATGGATGTAAGGAGAAACTCTGAATATTGTACTGGAGCCCAGAGAAGCCAAAGCAGAAGGAAGAGATCAAGACATTGAGGACCTGAAATGAACAGAAGATTTCAAAAGGCAGCATGGGATGACAAAGTAAAATATTACAATGAATTATTCAAGGAGCTGGAGTTGGAAAATCAAAAGGGCCGAACTTGCTCAGCATTTCTTAAGCTCAAGGAACTGAGGAACAAATTCAAACTTTGAGATGCTATAATCTAGGATGCTTTACACAGAATATTAAATGATCCAGGAAGTATTAAAAGAAGATGGAAAGAATATACTGAGTCACTGTATTGAAAGGATGTGGCAGACACAGAAGAATTTAATGAAACAACATAGGAGCCAGAGCCTATGGTGTTGAAGAAGTTCAAGCTGTTTTGAAGGAAATAGAAAAAATAAGGCCCCAGGAATAGAGAGTATACCAACTGACATATTTCAGCCAACAGATGCTGCCCTGGATGTGCTCACCACGTTGTGCTAAGAATTCTGGAGAACAACCACTTGGCCAACTGACTGGAAGAGATCTATATTTGTTCCCATCTCAAATAAGGGTGACCCAACAGAGTGTGGAAACTATAGAACAATATCATTGATTTCACACACAAGCAAGATTCTACTGAAGATTATCCAAAAACAACTGGAACAGCACTTCAGCAGAGAACTGCCAGAAGTCCAGGCTGGGTTTAGAAGGGGTCGTGGTACTGGGGATATTGTAGCTAATGTTAGATGGATCTTGGCTGAAAGTAGGGAATACCAGAGGAATGTATATCTGTGTTTCGTTGATTATGCAAAGGCGTTTGACTGTGTGGTTCATAACAAACTATGGTAGACTCTGAGAAGAATGGGAATCCCAGAACACTTGATCATTCTAATGTGAAACCTATATTTGGGCCAAGAGGCAGTCATCAGAACAGAGCAAGGAAACACTGCATGGTTCAAAATTGGGAAGGACGTACACCATGGATGTATGCAGAACAGATTATCCAGGAGGCTGTGCTCTATGAAAAGAAGTGTGGCATCAGGATTGGTGGAAGATCTATCAACAATCTGTGTTATGCAGATGACACAACCCTGCTTGCTGAAACTGAGGAGGACCTGAAGCACTTGCTGCAGAGGGTCAAGGACTGCAGCCTTCAATATGGATTGAGGCTCAATGTCAAGAAGACAAAGATTCTCACCTCTGGACCAATTGGCAGCATCAGGATGGATGGTGAAGAGATAGAGATTGTTCACAGCTTTAGTTTGCTTGGCTCCACAGTCAACACTCTTGGCACCAGCAATCAGGAAATTAAAAGACGTATTGCGATGGGAAAGTCTGCTGTTAGGGACTTATCCAAAGTACTGAAGAGCAATTTTTCTCTCTGGAGACTCAGGTGTGTCTGATACAGGCCATGGTCTTTGCAATGCATCAGAGAGTTGGACAGTGACTAGGGAGGGTAGAAGGAGAACTGATGCCTTTGAGCTGTGGTGCTGGAGAAGAGTATTTAGGGTACCATGGACTGCTAACAAAACAAACAGATTTGTCCTGGAAAGGGTTAAACCGGGTGCCAAGGATACTGGAGGCAAGGATTCTGGGGTTCCGTCTAACATACTTTGGACCTGTTGTAAGGAGGGACCAGTTCTTGGAGAGGGACATCATGCTTGGGAGGGTGGAGGGACGGCATAGGAGGAGAAGGTCCTCTATGAGGTGGATTGATTCAGTGACTGGACTGGGGTAATCAGAATGGGTTATCGGAGACAGTGAGATTGGCACAGGACAGAGCAGAGTTTAAGGTTGTTGCACATAGGGTCATTATGAGTTGCAAGCAACTCTACGGCACATAACAACATCAACATCAAGATGTCATTCAACTACTGACTGAGTTGTCTTTTTTAATGGTGGTCACGTGTTTATAAACTCTAGATGTCTCATTGGTCCAGGGGACATGTCACTCAGTCACACTGCTAGCTTTTTCCATGGGGCTATGAGTACTGATTGGAGGAGAGGTGGTTCATTCTAGTACACTCTCTGGTTTCACCCTGAGGGCTCATTATAAGTGTCAAAGGCCATAGCCTTCAACATCTCTACATCAAGAAAACAGTCCTTAATATTGGGCCATAGGTAACATCCTGATAAATGGAGGGAAGATTGAAGTGGTTTTATCTTGCTTAGATCCACTATCTACACCCTTGGCAGCAGCATTCAACAAAACAAAAATGTATTGGATTGGGAAAGTTTGCAGTCAGGGACCTCTTGAAGGTACTGAGGAGCAGTGATGCAGTTTTGAAGACTAAGGTGTGCCTGATCTAAGCATCACTGCTTCTCAGGACCTTGAGGAGGTAAAAATTTATTTGGTAAAGATTGTTAAATACATGGGCTGTCCAGTGGAAATGAAGTTGATGAGGGTGAGCAGTGTCTGTTGTCATCATGGCCAACCCTTAGTGAAATCTTACTGTGTACCAGGTGTTGGACTAAATACTGTGGCTATATTAACCTATTAATCTCCACTTTCTAAAGGTGAGTATCATTTTTCCATTTTACAGATGTGAAAAAAAGGCAGAGTGAAGTTTTTTGCTCACTGTCACTCTGTTTATAGGTGACAGAGCTGAAATTTCTGTCTCTGAAATGTTACTAATTATAAGGAAGGTACAAAGTTTAGGCTGAGCTGTGAAGGCCAAGCAAGAAAGGCAGGAAAGAACATGGCAGAGGTGGGTAGATGGAAATCATTAGGGTGGTTCCAGGTGAACATGTGATCATTTATGAACTAGAGGGACTTTGATGATGAGGATATGGGAGTAAGACGCTGGTGCACACTTGGGGAGCAAGATTGAATTGAAAGAGGAGGCCTGGGTATGGGAGCTGGAAAATCAGACTGGAGGTTCTGACTGGAAGCAACAGAGTTAACTATGTTGCTTTAGTTAAAATCAGAACCCTGGAAAAGGGTGCTTAGGAATTCTGAGTGGAATTAGAGCATAGGTTAAAATAGCTGCTCAATGACTGTTAGAAAAGTGGCCTGGTCTGCAATCCTTTCCAGCCTGGATATTTGCCCCTGGCACTGGGTTTAGGGCAGGAGGGGGAGGTGTAATGTAGTCTGTAACTTCACATAAAGGTCAGATCTATAAATGTGTGAAACTTTTGGGGGGAAACTAAGAAAAGGGGATAAATAATGAACACTGCATTGAAACAGAAATACATGATTAGGTATTATTTGCATGACAATAGTCCAGAATTAGGTGCCTAGCAAAATGGACTTGCTGGTGGGGGAAGGGAGGAAATTGTGCAACAATGAAAGAATCTTTTTAAAGAGAAAAGCCAGTGGGGAAGGGGGTGAGGGTGGGTGAGTAGGGAGGAAATGAATGGATGGAAATGTAGGTTTTATGTACACTTATGTTAAAATAGTTAAAAAAAGTAAAAGGTGAAACTTTGTACATTTATATCCACCCTGTCTCTCGAGTGATTCCTAGCAGTTTCTGAATACCTCCAGAGTTTGGAGTTTGGAACAAACAGTTTGCAACTGAGAATTTTTATATTGTTTAAACATCGTACTTGAAGATCCTACTTTACTCATCTGTGCACAGTATGATGAGTAATGGGAAATATGGAACGTCTCTGACTAAAAGATACTAGACTCATTTCCCTAGGGAATACTTTTGGGCTGGAGGTAGACTTTTAAAAAAAAATTTTATTTTATTATTATTTTTTAATTTTTTTAAATTTTATTATTTTGTGTGTGTGTACTGTCAAATCAGGTCTTACTGGTGCAGGAGGAGATTGTCCCTCCTTCTCCAGTAGAGGCCATGGTGGATTTGAACTGCACACCTCTGGGATTGCAGTGCATGGAGGTAGACTTTCATAACAGGTAATGGGCTAGACCAGATAGGTGTTTGTGTGAGTTCAAATTGTGGCTATCCCAGATAAATTCCAGTTCATTATCACCTCAAGTGTCTGTCAAGTTCATTGGGTCTTATTTCACTCAAAATTAGCTACGTTTTTTTGCCCATATTAGTCCAGAGACTCCTGA